AAGGCTGAGGCAGGAGGATTGCTTTAGCCTAAGAGTTTGAGACTGCAATGAGCTATGATGATGCCCATGCACTCTACCTGGACAAGAAAAACTCTCAAAAACAAAACCCATGGCCATGAAGACTATGTTAACCAGTTTGATGAAAATATTTCAAATTGTATATAAAACCAACACACTGTACCCCATGACTGCATTAATGTACACAGCTATGATTTAATAAAAAAAATTAAAAATTAAAAATAAAACTATGAAGTATGTTAGTGGGACTTTTTTTTGTTTGTTGGTTTGCAGTTTGGCCAGTGCCAGGTTCAAACCCACCACCCTCAGGATATGGGGCCGGTACCCTACTCACTGAGCCATAGGCACCGCTTGTTAGTGGAACATTTTAAAAATACCCTACACCATACTCAGTGCTAGAGATACACTGATATTTAAGTCTCAGTCAATCTTGTCAAATAAGAAAGTCATACAATAGGCAGCACCCGTGGCTCAAAGGAGTAGGATGCTGGCCCCAGCCAAAAACTGCAAAAAAAAAAAAAAAAAAAGTCATACAAGTAAGCAAGTATAACAATGTTTTATATATACTGTGACAGAGATCTGTTCAGGACACTAAGGCAACATTCATCTCTATGAGAGGGGCCTGCCTCATAGGAGATGGCACAAACTGCATCTTGACAATTGGGTAGTTCCTGTTCTCAGCTATAATTATCCATTTGCAGTATCTGTTAAAACATTGTTTTAGAGACTTTATTCACACCAACTATTCTTCAAAACACCCACTGTCAGTAACAACAAATCCATTCCTACTAGAAGTGTTAATTTTTTCCTTCTTAGCATTCTTTCTTTATAAACCCTCTTCTAGAATCAGAATAAGAGAAACAGGCAAAGAAGAGTGGAATACTGAGATTTGCTATACCTGCAAATGGATACAATAGCAAATGTTTGGAAGGAAGGAGCCTCAATTAGTCTTTTTCTAAGCACCAAAATGTACTGTGAGATAAGACCACGCAAATAAAGATGGCCCCAGAACATGTGGAGACCAGTAAAACATATTTGCTCCACTGACTCAGTACAAGATGTATAAAAGTAGCTTGGTATTCACAGTCCAATGTTTTATTTTGTTGTTTGAGATAGAGTCTCAGTATGTTGCCCTCGGTAGAGTGCTGTGGTGTCACAGCTCACAACAACCTTAAACTCTTGGGCTTAAGCGATTCTCTTGCCTCAGCCAAGTAGTTGGGACTATAAGCATCTGCCACAATGCCTGGCTATTTTATTGTTGCAGTTGTCATTGTTGTTTAGCTGGCCTGGCTGGGTTCGAACCCACCTGCCTAGGTGTATGTGGCCGGTGCCCTAACCACTGAGCTACAGGCGCCAAGCCCAATGTTTGTTTTTTTGTGTTAAGCCCTGTGCTGGATGCTGGGATAAAAATGACCTGCCTAGGTTGATGCGGCAAGCACACAAAGTGATCCAAGACAGAAAGTCCTGGGAATCTTGGAAAAGGATTATATGATGTATCCTGAAGTTCTAAGGAGAATAGATACCTGGGCAGATGAAATTAGCCTTCCCAGAGGATGCAGCAAATCTAAGAATAAGTAAGTACACTGACGCAATCCCTCCAACCTCCTGAAGTGGGGCCTCCACAAGAGCAGTAGAGAGCAAGAGGCAGTGAACTGCTAGCTGCCTTTAAGAAGTAACAAGAGAGGCCAGAAACAAGACAGTAAAACTCAGTGGAGGCTAAAACTAATATTTCAAGTATGTTAAAGAAGCCCTTCAGGATACAATTATAAAACTAAGGATCTTGAAATACATAACAAGAAAGGATAGAAAAGTTTGTGCAAGACTTCTACCCTTAGATGTAAACAAGGAAGATAAACAAGTTTATAAGCAAAAAAAAATTTTTTTGAGACAGTCTCACTTTGTTACCCTTGGTAAAGTGCTGTGGCATCACAGCTCACAGCAACCTCAAACTCTTGGGCTTAAGCAATTTTCTTGCCTCAGCCTCCCAGGCAGCTGGGACTATAGGCGCCCACCCCAGCACCCAGCTATTTTTTTTTATAGGGGGGAGGGGGTTGCAGTTGTCATTGTTTAGCAGGCCTGGGCCAGGCTCGAACCTACCAGTCTAGGTGTATGGGGCCAGCATCCTACTCACTAAGCTACAGGTGCCAAGCCAGCAAAAATTATTGATGAAGATAATTCAGAAAACAGATGTTGAGTGGAAGTTCATAGACACCAATTCCATCCCCTTTGCCCTGAGGAAGAGACTGAAGTCCCAAGAGGGGACTCCTGGAGCAGTGCTCTTTTCACCCAGTCCAGCACAGAGCACTGCACTCTAATGAGTGTACACTCCCTTCTGCCCTTTCTTTACAGACTTGATGGAGCAAAGGAGCTTCAGAAAACTGACTACCATCCTTCATCAAGGGATTGTTGTCTCCTCTGCTGGAACTACTGGCACAAAGTGATCAGCTCTCCCTGCTGCCCCTCATTGGCTGAGCTACCTTTTTTCTTTAGTTCTCTTCAGGTTCTATTATTATTAAGACTATATTCACATGCCATAAAATCAATTTGTTTAAAAATGTGTAATTCATGGTTTTTAGTATATTCACAAGGTTGTACAACTGTCATCACCTCTAATTCCAGAACATTTTCATCTCCCCATATAGAAACCTTGTACTCATTAGCAGACACCTATATTTCCCCCTGCCTCCATTCCCAGGCAACTACTAATCTGCTCTGTCCCTGTATAGATCTCCTTATTCTGGAAATTTCATATAAATGTAATCATGTAATTTGTGGCATTTTGTATCTGGTTTCTTAACAATGTTTTTATGGTTCATGCATGTTGTAGCATGCATCAGTTACATTGATTCATTTCTGTGTCTGAATAATTTTCTATCATGTATGTACCACATTCATTTATCAGTTGATGAACCTTGGGTTGTTTCTATCTTTGGGGCTATTGTAAATAGTGCTGCTGCTATGAACATTTCACATACAAGTTTTTTAGCTGGGGGTGGTGTTTTTTCTAAAACTCTGTTGACTGGGCAAGAGTGCAATGGTGTCATTATAGCTCATTGCAGCTCAAATTCCTGAGCTTGAGGAATCCTGCCTCAGCCTCTTGAGTAGCTAGGACTAGGTGCATACCACAATGCCTGCTTAATTTTTCTTATTTTTTGTAGAGATGGAGTCTTGCTCTTTCTCAGACTAGTCTCAAACTCCTGGCTTCAAGCAATCAATTCTCTCACCTCAGCCTCCTAAAGTGCTAAGATTACAGGTATGACCCACAGTAAGTTTTTGAGTGGGCATATATTTTTGTTTCTCTTGAGTGTAGATAGAAGTTGGAATGCTGGGACACATGATAACTTTGTGTTGACCTTTTTAAGGAACTACATGTTTTCCAAAGTGACTACACCAACTTACATTGCTGCCAACATTGTAAGAGGAATCCAACTTTTTCACTGCCAGAATTTTTTTTTAATTATAGCCGTCCTAGAGGCTGCAAAATGATATCTCATTGTCGTTCTGATTTACGTTTCCCTAATGTTTAATAATGTTCAGCATTTCTTTGTGTGCTTGTTGCTATTTGTATATCTTCTTTGGAAAAATGTCTTCAGGGGGTGGCGCCTATGGCTCAAAGGAGTAGGGCACTGGCCTCATATGCTGGAGGTGGTGGGTGGTGGGTTCAAACCCAGCCCTGGCCAAAAACTGCAAAAAAAAAAAAAAGAAAAGAAAAATGTCTTCAGACTCTGCCTATTTTTAATTGTGTTGTCTTTTTATTTATTTATTTATTTTTTTTGAGACAGAGCCTCAAGCTGTCCCCCTGGGTAGAGTGCCATGGCATTACAGCTCACAGCAACCTCCAACTCCTGGGCTCAAGCGAGTCTCCTG